GCTGGAAAGATTTGAAAACTTAACTTGAAAATGCTTGAATTCCACTGAGGGAAAAGAGTACGAAGCCTGTAAAAAGCTTTGTGAATTTATTTCAAAGGGCAACTTTAAACATTTAAACGTTTGTTGCAATGAAACTCAAAATGCTCCCACATTGAGTCCTCGGTTTGCCTCCCAGGTGCAGCAGGTCGTTGGCCGCCTGGCTACCTCGAGTCAAGGTGTCGGCGGGGTGCGGAAGGAGGTCTCGTTTGCCCCCTTGAATCTCTCTCAGGGGGTCCAAAGAACCAGAGACGTCCACGGGGAGAGCCCGGCTGTCTCCAGCAGGGCTGTGCATTCGGCGCAGCCGCTGAGTTACGTTGAACACAAAGTCGGCGGTCTCCAGCAGCAGCCGGGTCACGCCGTCATGCTGACCAACGGGCAGCCGGTGCTCGTTCCTCTCGACTATCACCTGCAGCATCAGTCCCAGCCGCAGCAACACTACCCAGGACAGGCGAGCGACGCCGCAAAGGCCTCCATTAACCCAAGCTTTAAAACCTCTGAGTCTCCAGGCAGAGCCGGCCTCCCTGAGAAGGTGGAGCCGACCACAGCTAAGCAGCAGCAGCATCATCATCATCAGCAGCAGCAGCAGCCGCAGCCTTCTCTACAGCCATCAGTCCACTCTGCAGCAGAGCTAACTCAGGCTTCGGGTGTCCCGGCGGCGGTGGCGGCGGCGCCTGGCAGTAACCCGTCACATTTCATGAAGGGGGCGATTATCCAGCTGGCCACCGGGGAGCTGAAGCGTGTGGAGGATCTGCAAACTCAGGATTTTGTGCGAAGCGCAGAGGTCAGCGGAGGGCTCAAGATCGACTCCAGCATGGTGATGGACATCCGGTCCAGCCAGCAGAGACCGGGTCTGGTGTCTCTGCATTTCACGGTGGGGGAGCAGCAGAGCAAGGTGACCATCGACGTCCCGCCAGAGCACCCGTTCTTCGTGTTCGGCCAGGGCTGGTCGTCGTGCAGCCCCGAGCGCACGGCCCAGCTGTACGGCCTGACCTGCCACCTCCTGCAGGTGGGGGACATGTGCGTGTCCATCACGCTGCAGCAGCAGCAGCTTCAGCCGCAGCTGCAGAAGCAACCGCAGCATCACAACTCACAGCAGCAGCAGAACGTGTCGAGAACTTTAGGCAAAAGCAGCGCGGCGTCGGGACCTGGTCACCAGCTCATGGGGCCTCCCGCACCCCAACAGCTGCGGCCGCAGGCTCACTTCAGGATGGATCGCGTCCACAGAGAGCGGCAGCAGCGGGACGGCGAGGGCGGCGTGCTGGAAAAGGATGAAGCACATTTAGCGGTTGTTGGACACACTGAATCCCCCGTCCGGCGAAGTCGGACCTCCACGGAGCATCCCAGGAGTCAGAGCAGCTACCACTTGCACACAGAGGGCTCTGCTTTCGCCGGGACCGGCATGACCGCCATGCAGGCCGCGCTCGGCGCCTCTCAGAGGCGCTGGTCGTCGCCCGGCCTCCAAAGATACAGCATGAAGGGAGACGAAGGGCAACGCCCTCAGATAATCGCCTCTGGCCACACGAGGCCTTCTTTCATCCCGCAGGAGGTGAAACTGTCCATCGAGGGGCGCTCTAACGCAGGGAAGTAGCATCACATTTGGTAGCAACCGTAGGAGAGACTGCCAGGAGCGAGAACGAGTCTGACAAGGAGAGAAAGAGGAAAAAAACAGTGTGAATGTAGCCTCAGAATGTTTGAGATTTTGCACACCTAAAAGTATACAAAGACACATGATTTTGTTGATCTTCTTGAGAAGTTTTGCTTCGATGTTACTCAGCCACGAAAAACAGAAACCTTCGGTTTCCCAGCCTGCTGAGGTCTGACAGGAAAATGGAAAGCTAAGTAGAACGTATGTAGCTTATAAACGCCTGCCATAGTCCTTACACACTGCTTTTCTCTTCCTCGCTCCCTCCTTCGTCTCCACCTCCTTGTACCCACGCCTGGACGTTTTCACAAATAAACACTTTGGCTTTACCTTCCTACTAAAACTCTCAATGGGAAACACAACAGTGTGTGCAGCCTCAAAGCACAGCTACCAACTCTGATGTTAAAAATCACAGCCAGCGATCTTTAGATGTCAACACTCCTAAAAAATTTTTTTATCTCTTTATATCTATATTTATAAAGCATTTACCCCCCCAAAAAAGTGGAGCCACTGACATCAGCAGGGCCTGTGATGTCGTCGATTAAAACCTTCTCTGCTGTCAGCTGGAAATCTCTCTCTCTCGAAGTCATTAATTTTCAGCAAGTCAGTCTCCAAAGATAGATGCAAGATTCTGTTTCAGGCCAAAAACGGCGGCTCTCGCACGTCTTACAATCGAGCAGTTCACCAATCAATTTCCTGTTCCTTGATTTAGCGCCCTTGTGGCAGGAACTGAAACGATGCCTTTCTCCTCTCTGAAACAACAAAGTTTTGCATTCCAGTGCGATTGTGTCATTTAGAGTGTGTTTCTTTTTCCCCGCTTCCCTCTGAACCTCACAGCTTTTCTCGACCAGGTTGGTGAACTTCGGTGCATTTTAATTTAATTACTGCAGGAGGCGCCGGCTGCTTCTCACCAAAGCCTTGAGAGAAACATCCACCTGTTGCATCTTGCAGTTTGCCCTGAAAGGGGAATATGTGAGTGTGAGTGAGGCAGTGTTGAAGCTCGAGTCTGTCTTTTCTCAGTTCCTTTAAAGAAAGCAATAGTTTCTTTTTTTTTTTTTTGTCGTTTTGTTTTTTCCCCCAAGCTTTTGGCTGTCCTGGGAATTTCATTGTCTGGTCCTCTTCCAGAGGTGATGCACCATTTTGATCTATTGTTAATTCAGACAACATTTAAGCTAAATTATTGGCTCATTAATTTTCCAAAATGCATCTTCGGGGGGCTCTAGATTAACAGATTGGTTGTGTATTATTTTCTTATGTCTTCTGTCACCCATTGTGTTCATTCAGTCCATCCTGAGTAGGAATCTGTGCTTTCTTCATGTTTTTATCTCGTTAATTGAAGGGAATTTGTTTGAAGTGTTGTTGGAGTTTTGTGGTAAGCGAAGAAGAAAAGAAACAAACAACTGACTTGTATTTTTTTTTTTTAACTGTTTACAAATTAGCCGAGATGAATGCTGCAGTCTCTTCCTTCTGACGTATTTCTATCTTGAAAAATCAAAAGTGCAATTAGATCATACATAAATTCATCCAGAGGTTTCCAATCAGACGACATTCCTCATGCAGACATTCCCATCGGAAAAGCGACACATTTAATAGTTTCTGGTCCTTTTTATGAAACTTGAATACAGCGCGATCATTCACTTTAAAGCGTTTTCTTTTTGCCTGAAAGCTTTAGGTAATTTTCTCTTGCACACACAGAGCTACTGCTTTTACTAGTCCATATTGGCTGTATGGCTTTTCCTTCTTGACCTTAAACCACTTTAAAGAAGTAGTTGCAGTAAAGCATAATATAGCATGAGGTTCAAGAATGGACAATTTGAACCCTTTTGGTATTAAAAAACTGAATTTTTTTGGATGATACTGAAGTGTAAACCAATTCCTGAATGGATTTCTATACGGAAGGCATTTCCGTACTGCCATGATGGACAGAGAGGGTTTAGTGTTTCCTACCATCCAGCACCCAACACGCGTTTGTCAAAGCGTAAGCAATATTCATTCATCATGAGTCGACAACTTTCTGTAGTCTTGGTGTTTTCTATGCAGTAATCTCAGTACAACGTCCAGGATCGTCTTCAGTGTAGTCAGCTGAAGCAGCAGCAGCGGCTCTGCTTGTTGGATGCAGTCGTTTGAAACGTTTCTTTCGCTGATGTCTGGGTTTAGTATTTTTGACTGACCTACTTTATAGGAATTAAAAGCAGTGTTTTTGGTTTACCTCTTTGTGTTTTCTTGGTGTTGTTGTTTTTTGTGGCCAGCAGTTGTCAGCTCTCTGAATCCCGAGTGAAACCGTTTTCATCTTCCTTCTTTGAAGCCACGCATTTAAAGCCAAATCACGCGAGACGCCCCACTCGGTCCGTTTGTCCGGTGAGGTCACAGTTTAGTGGGGCTTATTGTCTGGTGTAAAGCAGTGCCACTTATGGTTTAAAGCCCCAAGCAAGGCCATCCTGTGCTGACGCTTTCCTCTCTGTTTTCATCCATCGCTTTGAGTGGCCTGTGCCATTTTAAAGATTAATCCTCCATCACTGATGGTCCGTTGTTGTATAAAATTGCACTAAATGTCGTCCTTCAGTGTTCTCAAATGAAATCTGTTGGTAAACTGAAGACTTTCCAATTGTAAAGCACACAAAATCGTGGAGAAATCGCAGGTTTTGTGTTTCTGTAGATAGGTGTATTTGTTTTTTCTTGTGTAGATAGCTTCGATCGGTGACGACGATGATGATGCTTGTTTATAATGCCTTAAATTCAGCTTTGTACAATGTGTCCAAACGAACAACGGACTCCGTGTTCTCCGTTCAGGTTGTACGAGAGCATATCAGAAAGGTCAGGCTTGACGAGCAGAAGCTTACACTCGACGACGAGAGCGAGTTTCGTAGAACTCGTTGCTTCCCGGTTTTTTTTTTTAGTTTTGATTATTATTTTTTTTAATATACCTATCTCTGACTTTTTAATCTGTAGATTTTCAGTATGTGGAAGAGAAAGCGAAAGCTTTCCTCAGCACTTTTTTTACAAGTTGAGTTCCAGAGCGTCAGCCGTGAAGGAGAAATCCTTCCACTTAACACATGCATAGACAGATGCACAGAGCAGATTTTATTATTATTATTGCACAAGATCAGTAGGATTTTAATGGCCAGAATCATCGGGTTGTGAAAGGTCCAGCGCTGCGTCCCCAAGTTTCTGGACAGCAGAGTGGAAAAGTACGAACTACGTCCATCTTTTTATTAAACTGCTAACATGAACTTAGTAAGGTTGTGGTGTTGCTGATGTCAAATCAAATCAGGAGAATGCAAATGGTTAAAAGTTTTAAAGAAGTCTGTATTTTCAGATTTGACATGATTTTTATTTGTATTTCTTTTTTTCCTCTGCACAAGGTGACATTGCTTTTTGTGATGTGAAACTTAAAAACTGAACAGCATTTTCTTTTTCTATTTTCTTTTAAAATGCCTAAATCTGCAAAAATATATGCAATTATGTAAATGTAACATTCAATCCTCAAGTATAATCCAGGTTGTATGAACTTTGTATAGTGAGTTTTAATATTGTATGGTCGTACCAATATGTATTGATCTCTATCAGAAGCCTTAGAGTTGTTGACCCAAAGTGCTCCCTTAGGAAAAAAAAAACCCACACCTACCTGACTTTAAGAAAGCATTAATATCTATTTTGTTGCATTTTTATTTGTACCCTTTTTTTTTTTTTGGAATAAAATAGATTTGTACTGTATATTTGTACCTCTGTGAACTTCTTAGGGTGTTTTTTTTCTTTTCTTTTTCTTTTTTTAACTCGTTTTGCTGTTTTAATTTTACGTGCTTTAAGGACACAAAGATATTGTATTTTTATTGTTACAGCTAACATGGAGACATTGCATTTATCATGTTTAAGTAAACACAATATAATATATATAAATATATATACAAATATAAATAAAATAGATAAACCCAAAATGTTTGCTGTGTGTTTTTGACTCAAGTGCAGTTCCTCGATTTATGAAATTTGTGAAACAAATTAGTTTGGTGAAGTTTGCCGGAGTTTAAACGAGTTAAATCTTGAACAAAATGGCTAAATGTATTAGCTGGCAAGTATTTTTACATTTTCATGCAAACTGGTAAAGACATTTGTGTACTTCTACTATTAAAATGTGTTTTGTTTCTTTTAATTAGGGTGTCCAGATTGCAGCTCGCGGGTCATTTGGGGCCCTCAGGACGTTTTTCCGCAGCTTGCAACTGATTCAAGACAGTTACGGCTGCTACAGAAATGACACTTAAACTTTTTTGTGTACGATTTTAAATGTCAAAATCATAAAATAAAAAATTCTATAGTAGACAAGACCTACAACAACCAGCAACTACTAATATGTCTTCAATTTTTTTTTAAAAGTGTAATATTTCTTCCCAGTTGGCTCAGAAAATGAAACGTTTATTTTATAGAGATTCATTAGAGTAGAATATTTCAAACTTATTTGCTTGCAGTTTTAATTATTGTGGCATATAGATAAAGAAAACCAAAAAGTTGAGCGGCTCAAATAATTGTCTTGAATTTTGGGTTTTCTTCACCTGTAAGCCACAATCAAAAAAAAAAAAGAGAAATGAAGCTTGAAATATTTTACTTTATGTAATGAATCTCTCACTTCCTCAACTTACTGTGATGAAATATTGCACTTTCAAATAATATTTTTTTTTAGCTGTACTTGTATGACTCAAAAGCAGATAATTTTTTCCTCTACTGGTTGAGATCAAACTAAAACGTTTCTCTGTTACATGAGTTAAAAAAAGTAAACCCTCCAGTAACATTGTATGCCTTTAATTTATCAAGGCAAATGTGGGAGATCTTTTTCACATTACTGGTCCTTTATCTGCAAAAGTGACTATTTTGTTGAGCAGCAAAAGAATTGCTTCCTCCACCTACGCACACTTTCAATGTGACAAATTAGGCGTCCTTGGCAAAAAGTTAAATGAAGCATTAAATACGAGTGAAATGGTTTTGAAACTTTTCTACCTAAAATAATAAATCAGAACACATTTTTATTTTTTTTCCAATTCAGATTAACTGACAATTTGTTCATTATGTAATGTAACAACTCGAGGATGTGCTCCTGAGTATGAGTGACTGCCTAAAGAGCAACAGAAGGTAAACACTGGCTTTATATTAAACTTGATGTTTATTTCCACATTCTTTACCAGGTCTCATTATGGTCTGTACATCTTCTGAGTCAGTAACAGAGAGGACGGTGTCCCTGAAGGGCCATCCAGTCAGAATACATCGATATGACAACCAGGCATGTCGTTGCAGTTTAGCTCATTCATTTGGCCTTTTTCAGAAATACAGATTTTGTAAACATGGACATTGAGAGAAAAATCCTGATAGCATTAATATCAAAAGGCTAACATTTAAATTTGTTTTTTTATTAAACTGTTTAAAAAAAAAAAGCAGGCATAAACTAACAGAACACAGGCTCATACTGAACAACTCTAGTACTAGTGCAGTTTCAGGGACATGCAGTGTTAACCTAACCGAAAGTGAGCGAACTTTCGTCCTGCTGCTGGTTCACAGCAGACTGACGGCGTCGCCTCTGAGAATAAATACCCAGCATTCATAGGCTGAGACAAAACCTGAAGCCTTCGCTTTCAGCAGACAACGCCACTATGGGATGGCAGTGAGATCTTGTTGCTTTAATGCGCTGAACTTTGGAAAAATAAAATAAAACCGATGCAACGTATTCTTCCCCAAACGTGAATTAATCTTGACGTTCTGGGCTCTGAACCCTCTCACTGAGTTGAACTGCCTGAGAAAGCGGAGCTTCCGATTCTGAATTTCGGTTGAAACATTTTGAAGTTGCGTTCTGCATAGTTTCTTTGAAAAGTGAAATGTTTTTTTTTTTTTTTTTTTCCTTCAAAAAAAATAAATCTGTTGCATAGAGGTTTGATGCACTCCTAGGAAAGCCAAAAGTCCCGACCCAGATCCGCATCTCACGCTTTCTTCAGGTAGGACGACACTCTTCTAGGAGCGACTCAAACAGAAACACTACTTGGAGAGACTGAAACTGCTCGTTTGACGATGCAAGGTTTTGCATCTGGAGAAATCAAGAGGAGTGGAGGTAACCGTACAGCTGTAAATAACGGCCATGTGAAATATGAAACAGATTATACCAGCAAAATACGGCAAACACTTTTACAGGAAAACAAAAGTATCATGTTGCATAAATATGTGCTGGAATGAGGATCAGTAATATAAAAACACATCCTGGAAATAAACAAGCCTCAGTGCTAACAAAGGGGTGGACTGCATCATACAGGTATATCTCAATAAGCTTGTTATTGAACAATTAATTTATGTCAGGAATTTAAGAATTAGTTATATCAAGCAATTATTTTAATTCATTTGGATAACTGAGACACAAAAGATTGTTAAGAAGCTGATAACAGAGTGCTGTGTTCTAGCACAACCATGGAAAATTAAGTGGAAGGAAAAAATGTGGGAGAAAAAAAATCCATCTGTTATGAATCTAACTCTTGAATTAGATAACTGAGATAAATTAACATTCAAACGACATTTTATTTAGATATACCTGTAAATGATTCTCACCTCTTAACATGACTTTCTTTTCTCTCTCCAGACTTGTGGATATTATTATTTATAAAAAAATATTTAAGTGGTAATAATAACATAAAATACTGCAGACTCACAAAGAATGTGAAATGCTACAGGAATTGCACAAAGCAGGTTAAAATCAAGCATGACTTTCTGTACAACACTGACATGTTTACCAATTAGCATAAAACACAAACGCATCTTCGTAGACAGAATTCAAGTAATGCGACAAAATCTGAGGTCAACAGGTAAGATGTTGGGTTTTCTTTTTCCATGTAATGAGACCAAAATACATAAGAGGTAAATAATGTAATGTACAGTACAACAACAGCAGCAGAGACCGAGTTTTTAAAAAACAATAAATTACACACAGTGTTTAAAAAGACAAAAAAAAAGTAGAAAAATTAAGATAATGACGACAGGAATGCTTTTCAACACCGGGCATGCTCAATAGGGACAAACATTCACAAACGAATGCATGTGTCCTATTAAAAGTGCCATAAAGAGGAATATCAAAACTTAAAAGTGTGGGGAAACGACCTGCGTCTTCTGTAGTATTGTATAGTGTGTGTGTGTAGCTTTGGAAGCTGGGAGCTGGTAAGCCACAGGACAGAGAGCGACCGTCCACGGCGCCGGATGAGGTAGTAGTTTGGACATGAATGTTCCACGGCAGCAGCTAGAAAACAGAGAGAGGCGCAGCTACCGGAGTCTGAGTTACTGGGCTGGGAGGACCAGGGAGGGAGGGTCTGCAGCTACAGGGTCCACACTCCCCTCACTGAGGATCCATGTGCAAATGATTTTTTTTGTTTGTTTTTCAGTTGAAGCAAGAATAAACTGCTCCCACCAGAATGTACTGTTACCTGTGAGAGTCCACCGAAACACAGATAAATCTCTTTACAGCATGCTCTTAGAATAAGAAACATTCTCAACCCTGTCTCCAAGGTTTTTATAGACTGTAATAAATTAGAAATTGAAGAAGTTTGCATGAGTACAGAGGAATTCTGGGAATGGGGGAGAGTGGGACAGGAATGGTTCGCTGTGGTAATAGGAACCTGACGGCGCAGGCTGGAAGGGGGGGGAGTTTTTATAGGACCCCCAGGGATCATGGCAGCTTCATGAAGAGACCGTTATCTATGGAAGGAACCGGCATGGGACAGGGGAACTGAAAGAGACTCATGTCCGCTGTGAGAGCGGCCATCGCGGCGGGATCGTGCTCGATCTGTGTCCTGAGGGCGGGGTCAATCTTCTCCAGCCGCCGCTTGATCCGCTTGGCCTCCCTCTCGCGGATCAGCCGGGCCTGCCTCTTCTCCGGAGTCTCGTTGGCCCTCTTTAGCCGCATGGCCTCCCGGTCTCTCTGCAGCCGCCGCGCCCTCTGCTCCTCCGTCTCCTGCATCCTCTGCATGCGCTTGGCCTCGCGGTCCCGCAGCCGCCTCAGCTCCCTCTCCTCGTCCGTCTCGCAGGCGCGCTTGTTCTTCTTGGCGGTGCGTTCGCGCTCCAGACGCTGCAGGCGAGCCTCCAGGGGCTCGTTCTTGCGACGCAGGGCCCACTTGCGCATCGGAGACTGCGCCTCCACCAGCTGCTGGTAGGCCACGCAGCTGTTGCACACCAGCAGGACTCCGGCGGGGTAGACGGGCATCGGGCTCATGATGTCGGGAATGGGAGGAAGGGCCGAAGAGGAGGAGTTGAGGGCGTCGGGGATGGACGCGAGCGACGGACCTTCGGACAGGAGCCCGTCGGGCAGCGGAGGAAAGGCGGGCCCCTGATCGGACCCCGAGCACGCCCCACAACCTGGGCTTAATGCGTGGCACGGCCGGGGTCCTTGACACTGGTTTGGGATGTGGCTGGAGGACTGGCAGGTGCGATGGGCCTGGCAGAGGGTGGATGTCGGATCGGGAGCCTGGCAGGGAGGCGGGCCCTGACAGGAACTGGGACTGGGACCCGCTCCGTGGCAGGAGTGCGTGCTGGAGCCCGGGCTGCTCATGGGGCTGCTGGAGAGGGACTGGGACATGGAGCAGGAGTCCCGTCCACCAGTGACGTCCAACCTGCTTGTGTCGAGGACGTCTTTTAGCTTTTCCCTGTAATAAGACAGAAGGTTAGCCGAAACAAGACCTCGACTTTAGATCTCTGAGATTATTCTTTGGCTATGTTCACACAGCAAGTCTTGATGATTTCAAGGAATTTCTTTTTTGGCTCTTGTGGCCTTTTTTCCACAGTAGCTTGACAGAAAGTTGTATTATGAGAGGGCCACGCCCAATCTGCGATTGTTTGCCGAGGTCTGATTTGTTTCGCATGGTCGTTCACAGCTGACCTGCCTTATCCATACGTTTGAAACATTTGTCTTCAGCCATTTCTCAAAGGTTTCTTCACTGACTCGCAGGTTAAAAACTGCTGCACTGTAACTGTTGATTTAATTTCTACTGCATATTGTTCTGTTTTCATTATGCTTTGTGATGTTTTTATGGCAAAATGTCTCGTTGGGTTGCAAAGTTTGCAGATCCCTGACATACACAGATAAATGACAGACTATCCGAAGAGAGTAGAACTGATTTTGCAGAAAAGTCTGGTAGTTTTAAACTGCTCATATATTTTGTAACTTTTCTTTGTTGAGTTTTATCATTTATCCCTCCGTCTCTTTCCGCTGTGTATTCTGACCTTGACTGGGCTGCTTAAATGAAAAAAAAAAGAAGAAGAAGAAAAAAGCTAATGGTAGTTGCTAAGCAACGTGCAAGTTTATTTCCTATGGATCTGTCATTGCAGGACTAAATTTATTCATCCCTCATGTTATACAGTCTGGTTCATCTCTCACTGGACAACCAGTTCTTTATTTACTCTGATGTGCTCAGCTGGAGACACATCACCTAAACGTCATTCAGCTTTAGGAAACTTTTTGACCTGCCATGTTTTATTTCTTCGTCACATCCTTTCCTGGTAAGAATTTGACCATCAACAGGAAGAGTAAAAATTGCTGCTTTGGCATGCAGCTTATATATGAGATATTTAAAAAAAAAAAAAAAGTGTGCTATTCTAGTAATAAAATCCCATCGCATTCAATACAACAGACATCAAGTTCCTTGCAAACTTGTGCATAAAAGAGTCGAGCAGCAGCAGCAGCAGATCTGAACCTGTTAAAGTTGTTGGTGTCTGTGAAGCGTGCGCCACAGACGGCGCAGTTGGAGAGGCGGTCCTCGGAGTGGATGAGAAGATGCCGTCCAAGCGAGCCAGGAGAACTCAGGGCTCGCCCACACACTGGGCACACGTAGCTCTTGGTGTTGCTCATCATGCTAGTATGCTGGCGAAGACAGCGGAGAAAGATAAACATATAAACTTAACGTGATCAACTGTAAAAGGCAGTTTTTTTTTGTTTTTTTTTTAAATCTATTATAAATTTAGAAAGAGGACAGATGGATAAAATGTATCATCATGGTTGGATTAAAGGAAGTCAGTTGCGAAAGGAAGTAGTTTTTAAAACCATGTTTAACTCCATACTTGCTGTTATAAACCTGTAGCAGATTGTTCCATGTCATATTTACTTATTGAGTGAAGGTGCTAAATCCTTATGAAGATTTCCAGTTTTCTTTGACCAACTGTGATTTAAAATGAGTCTGACATATAAAATCAAGGAAAAGATCATAGATATTAATCCATTAAGTCATATGTTTTTAACATTTATCAGAATTTTTTTAATGGAAGAAGTCTTCATATAATTGTTTCGTGCTGCTGCTGCAAAGCTCCTCGCTGTTTGTACTCATCAAACTTGTGTGCATTGTGTTCTTCATGAATGTTTAACGTTGAAGACTAAATATAAATATCTTTGAGACTTAAAAAGAAAGAAGTGCATTGAAGTTTCTGCAACTGGCTGATGCGTTTATGCACTGAGAAGGTAGAAATTAATAGATGTGAACCATTTAACAGTTCTTTCAGCTAACAAGATGGAGTTGATGTCTGGCAGAGTCATCTGTGTTTCTGTTATAACATAAAGCGTTATTACTATTTAACTACTATACGTTTACTTTAATGTAGATGTAACTGTGCTCACATGTAGCAGTATTTCAACCTTTGTCACTTCAAATTAAAACTTAATTAGTGTAACATAAACAATTGCATTACAGGAGAATTTAAATATGTATTTGTAGTCACCAAAAAAAAAAAAAAAAAAAAAGGCTAGAGTTTAAGAATTTGCTCTGCATTTTTCTCGGCACGACACTGACCTGAATCACATTTACCGCCTCTAACAAGCTGTTTTTGTTCAAGCAGACTCTAAAATGTTGGACGGTGCGGCTGCTAATTGACTAGCACGCACTAATTGAGACGAAAAAAATGCAAGATGCTGCAACAGTTTCCAAAGTCGTCCGTGTTTTTATAGCTGGAAAAACAAAATGCGGTTCTCACCTGGTAGACATGTGAAATGAGTCTCTCAGGGCTGCTGAAATCCAGCGTGCACAGAGGACAGACAAAGTTGTTGCTGTGGTCAGCCCCCTCGTCACTCTCCTGAGGAAAATAAAAGCACATTTTTTTAGAGTAGATTTATTCACGCACAACTGTATGGTGGGGGTGGGCGGTAAAAGTAAATCCACATTAAAACAAAACAAAAAAAACAAAAAAAAAAAACGCATGTGCTTCGGGTGTGCGATGAAGCTCACCCCTTTAATGATTTAAGCGAAGGCATTGTTTGTATCAAGCTTAACGTCAGCTTGCGTGGAAGCTATTTCTAACTGAAAGTGTAGGACGATGTGTTAAGTGTATGACTGTGCAAAAGTCAGTGAGTCATAATCGGTCACATGACGCTGCCACAGATGTTACTCATGCACAAGTTGAAATGTAGAGCACTTGGAAACAGAAGGTACCTCCACAGAGCATATTGGGAGAAACGAGAGTTTTAACCCTTTGAACTTCTAAAAAAAAAAAAAAAAAAAAAAAAGTCTGCCAACAAATTAGCTTATTTGACCCATGTAATTCTGGTGCATTTTACAGGCATGTAGTGCCATTTTATAGCAGAATCAAAATGAGGTTAAAATCCAGTTAATGCTTCGTGTAAGAGAACCACAACAAAGCGTCAGGTGCTGAGTTTCCACTTGTTTAACAAACATTCGTTCTGAAAGCACACGCTGCCTGGTGATCGGTCATCTGTAGGGTAAAAGATTGAGCGTTTCTACAAACAATTGCGCAACTGGAAATAAAGAATGAATATGTGGAAAAGTGCCTTGTGTCCACTGTTAAGTACAGTGGAGGATCCGTAATGCTGTGGGTTTGTTTCTTATCCAGAAGCCGTGGAAATCATGTTAGAGTGCATTTAAATCAGAATCCAGAGGCCTCTTTCATAAAGATAATGATCCAACATCTACGGCCTAATTAACACAGAAATAGGCTATCAAATACAAACTGAACCTCCTTCCATAACCGTATGACCTCTACACCTGAATCCAAGAGTTGTGCAACATATATAATGATATAATACTTGAAGTTTTGCTGGCCAATTTATTACTAGAGTCATGAGTTCACTAGAAGATAAACTAATAGAGGACGCAGGACTTTGGATGACCAAGAAGACAGATTGTGCAAAGAGGAATGGCTGAAAATCCAACTGTCTGTAGTTTAAAAAAAATCATGTGTTTATACTATAGGAGAAAAGAAAAATGATTCAAAGAGCTTTCATGAATCTTTTCTAGTGTGCAAAAACATCTGTTCATATCTGTATATATTCATATATATATAAAAAAACTCTTGTCAAGTGCATAACTAATACAAAAAAGAAAAGCTTCACCTGTCAGGTTTAAGACTTTCACACATTCTTAAACTACATCCTGTGGCTTCAAACCAAACAGCTCAAAATGACGGAGGTGTTGTGGCAGACTTCATCATTCTCTGAGCTCTGTGGGGTTTGGTTCGAACGCTCCCCCGCCCTCCGACATGTGGCCAAACCCAAAATGAGGAACAATCCGTAACAAAACGGTCACGACAAAAGAGGCCGGCTAACATGCAGCAGACTCACCACTTTGACGCCCGCTCCTTGAAGGCGGCACTGCGCTCTGTTGGCAGTCATGTGGTCGTCAGCAGAGGCGTTGGAGGACGAGTCTTCGCCGTGGTTGTCAGGGTCGCTATCGCTGTCTTCTATGGAGGCAAACACAGCCCTATCAATACAGACAGACAACAGAGCACAGAGCAGGGCTTATTCTCACTCACGCCCCTCAGTGCGAGGACGTTCCCGCAGAGTCCGCCGGGCCCCTCCGGCCCGTACCTGTGAGGCTATCCTGTCCTTGGACTTCCTGCGAGTTGTTGTTGCAGCATTCGGCGTCCTCGGTGAATTCGTCCCTGCCGTCCATGTTAATGGTGTGCTGGAGTCCCGATAAGCCCAAAGTGTGGAATGGCCCTGGGAAATCAGAACAGCAGAAATTTGGTATGCAAATTGTGATGCTCAGATTTTCTGCTAACTGTTCTTTTGTAGATTTCTGATATTTTCCCATAGACAATAAAAGCTGAACTTAATTGTTTTTTGGCTGTAGTGGCCTTCATTTGAAAGTAGTTTGACAGGAAAGAGGGGGAAGACATGCAGCACATTTCACCCGGGTGGGAATCAAACCTGTGACCGTCGGCACAAGGACCAAGGCCTCAATACGAGGGTTGTGTTTTGACCCTGCGCCACCACAGCCCTCCAACTTAACTTTTTTTTTTTTTTTTACTTTATTATGCAGGGGAGAAAAAGACATGCAGCAGAAAATGGACGCCATTTTCTAATTTGCAGGTTTTTACAAATTTGTATTGCTTAAATTTTTAAACAAAGTCTCTCGATCACAGTTCAGCATTTTGAAGGTCGGTTTTAGTGAGCTCACCAAAAACCATACAATCAGAGACCAGGTGTATTTGCACACTGACATCACTGCAATGACTATAATAACATAACCTCAACAGACTTTTACAACCAAAACAACTCATGAAACCCACATTTACAGAGCTTCTGTTCTACCAGCAGACGGTAAAAGCCTGATTTCTACCTTCAAACTGTTGGAAACAGGAGTATTTTTCTTTTCAGAAAAACACAAAAGCAACCCACACAATAAAGAATAAACCTTTACCGCACAATAAAGGTTCCTAAACATACCTAGGATTATAATGCTGTCTTTGAGTTTTTAAAACAAGATGAAAACCTATAGATGAACTTGTCCATGGAGAGTTTTACAAAGAGTTAAATGGTTATGACAAGACTAATCATTACAAGCCCAGTTGAGATTCTTAAACATTTCGCAGACTTTTTTGGTTGAAAATAATCATTTTAGTAGGAAAGGTAACATTTCCTGCCAAAATGTAACAAATTTATTTTTGTTATCCGACTGTAGATAGGATTTTGACTTGGTGGTAGATTCAGTTTTTGAATGTATGAATTAGATTTTATGGTATATCAGCCAGAAGTGTTTTATTGTAATGTTTGAACTGCCTTAAGTGCTTCGTCACCTTTTCACGTTAATTTAAATGCAAGTGTTCAACCACAGACTGTTGTTTTGTGATGTCACCTCTATAACGTAAGTTTTCTTTATTAATTAATTTACCCGTTGCCCTCCACAACTACAGTTACAAAGGACCGTACAATGCAGAAAAAGTTTAATTATAATTTGCATAACTCAAGTAAAAACATTTACAATATAATCTTTACATAAAAGATCGATAAAAGCTAAATATTTTCAACAGGTCCACAGAGTCAGCGATTTAAAGCTTTTCCGCAGCTTTGGAGTCACAGAGACTTGCGGCTGTTGCGTTGTGAATGGTTTGGAGGCGTGAAACTGATGATCTGTCCAGACCAGTAAACAAGGGATCACGGTAATCCAGGCATGAGATGGAGATAGTTTTCTCCAGATCTGCAGGGCACACCGGATGTTTGAGTTCTGAAATGTTTCTTAAATGGCATGAACAGGAACAAGAAGTAGATTAAACATGCGAGTCAATATCTCATACGCCGAACCTGACTGCTAAACAAAAGACTCTCTGGTCTGGCTTACAATGTGATTCAGGAAAAGCAATGAGCAGGAAACTGCAACATTCAATATCTGGAGGATCTTAAAAGAGAAATATAACTGAGATTAGTCATGTAGATGTGAAGAATTATAAAAATTCAAAGTAATCCCAGTAAATAGAAGTAAAAATAAAATATCAATGTACCCAACACTGACCCCTGAGGAACGCCACAAAACCAATGTGTCCTCATGAAGGATATCCTATTAAGACAGATAAGAATAAAAAAACAATCTATGCAGAGACAGAGACGACAAGCAAAACTTTCAGCTGATTTAGTAAAATGTTTCAGAATAACATAATTTGTTTGGATTCAGAACATTTTCCTATTGGAGTAACTAACGACTATTTCTATTTAACAAGAGGCTGACTTTAATGAGAGATTGCACAGCAATAAAAAACAAGATGCTCAACTGTTTTTTTAATTGACTCAAGATGTAGAGAAATTTCTTGTTAGTTTAAAAGTGTAAACACTACATGAAGTCGGCGAGGTGAGGCCACTCGTATCTATGCATCAACACTAAGTTCATTAACATCCCAACCCCCACTGTTCTTACACACCAATGCATACTGGCTGCTCCTACAGCAATGCTGCAGTCCCTCAGGAGCAGCAGCCTCTCTTCCTGCTTTCTGCCGAGCTACAAACTGTGTTTCTCCACGTCTCTCTCCACACCACCCACACGCCGAACAGCCTGGCTCGCCCTCTGTCTTCCCTGCTTAAATGTAGCAAGTACTTCCATATCCATACCATCGCCTCCGAGGGGGGTGGAAGCAGCTCTGCAATGGCAGCCCATATGTCTCCGCTCTGTGGAAGTACTTTTGGTTGCGAGGTTTGGTAAAACTCCTCCTCCACTTTTTCTATTCTTACACTTGACCCCGCGAAAGCTGAGTTTGACTCCCAGCATTTGCCTCATTAGAGGTGTTGGCGAGAGTTCCTCTTGTACTCCGAAATAAGACGGGATTTTACTTTGGTGTGCAGTAACTGGGGTCAGAGATGGGACAGATAGGCTCCGGACTTTGGCTACCTGACGCTGACAGAACCACGCCCCTCATCACAGTCCGTCACCAGCACTTTCCCTCTCAGTCTGTCCAAACCCGAAGCCGAACCTTCAGGTTATTTTTCTGTCGTCTGGCTTCTTTTACTTGGCGTGCGGATGCAGTTTGGGCCCTTCCCCAAAACGAGCCCGAGCTTTCATTAGGAGTGGCACAGTGGGTCCGGGTATTGAACTACTACAGCGAGCTGGCGTCTCGGCACATGGCCAATGATTGATGTGTGAGAAATACCCATCCCCCCCCTCCCACCCCATTGCCAGAGCTCTGTCTGTACATCTGTCTCTCCTTGCTCCCTCCCCACTTCCCCCAGTCTCTGTGCCACTGTGATGTTATCTCCGAGTCTGTGTGTCTGTAGGCAGGAGGTGACGCAGTGTCTGACTGAATCCAGACAAAGAGACAAACTCATCAGTCAACAGACACACAGAAGAGAGAGAGAAAGGGGAGTGGGTGGTGGTGGCGGCGGCAGTGGTGGGGGGGTCAGGGTGGTGGAGGGCTAGCGTGCTAAACAAAACAGACAAAAGACAGAATGCCAAAACTCTACTCAAACACCAAGCAATGGGGGTCTCTTTTTTTTTTAAAACTCAAAAAGCCCCTCCTTCAGCTTTCCAGCCGCCGTCCCCTCGAAAACACACACATGAAGTCACACAAGCCAGTGTCTGAATATGCAGGAAGTGTTGGGGCCCTGTCTTCCATCCACACACAGACAGGAGGGGAACAAGGATGCTGGGCCAGACATCTGATCAGTTCTCATCTGCTGACCCAATATCACACAAAAGATGAAGTGATAAAACCCTTCTAATGAAGAGGACCGCTGTCTGGCTACTTAGGCGCATGAAGCTAAGGTGAAATGTTGCTCATTAACATAACAAAAAACAGGCACATACAAGGAATTAAGTATTAATAATTAAAGGTTAAAGACTGCATTCCCATACAGACTGCAGAAATTTGTTGTTTTTTTTTGCACCTGTTATAGGGAAGTTTTTCTGTTTGCATTCAGCATTTTTGTCTTGCACAAAAATTTTTTTAATTTTACTACATTGTGGTTGCATATTTCAGGATTTTACAATCTGTCACTTCTTATTTTTTACCTTATTATTGTTTCTAATGTGTTTATCCATGACTATTACTCTACTGTTGTTACACTGAAATGTTCCTACTAAAAAGGGAAATATAGGGCTAATCTTATCTAGTGAAAAACAAGTTCAAATACTTCACAGAACTTTAGAATATTAAAAAATGATCAGAGTTGAAATAATGTATCATGTTAAGCATTAAACAACAACATATTCATATTTAACAGTAAACAAACTAAAAGTTAATTCAGTTAATTTCACTGCAGTTTTTCTGGATTGTAATGATCATCAGATTAAAGAACAAAGACATCTGCACGCAACATACTCTTGAATCATACCGTGGAACTCCCTTTGTGTGTGTGTGTGTGTGCGCACAAGCATATACATAAAAATGTGTGTGTGTGTGTGTGTGTGTGTCTGGCTCCCTGTCTCCTTGCTGTCTAGTCTGTCAGTCAGTCTGACTGCGTTAACCTCTCAGCTCTGGGCAGCTCTCTGCAGGCCATTTAGACTTCACAGGAAAAGACAGGTGAAGCAGCCAAACCACAGGAGGGCTGAACTACAAAACGCACCGCATCTGAAGTCTGTCGATGACGAAGGAGACTGTAGTTAAATGCACTCAAACAGAACATAGAAAGTTCCCTCTTCGACTTGTTTTAGGTCATTCTTTTGGCTTCTCGCTCCGATTCTGGCGTTCAGTAACAATATATTGACTGTTGAGCTTTTTAGGGATTACTGTAGGTGCAAAAGTCAGATGCATTTCTACAGTTTAACTAAACTATATTTAGAAAGGTGAGCTGTGCAGGTCCTGACTTCAGTAGATTACACAGGGCAATCTTCTTCTTCTTTGGTGGGAGCAACTTCTTTAAGATATCTGCAGGCGGACCAACCAGGAGATCCTGGCTGGAGGACAGAAGTAATGGACATACAAGGACACCAACTGGATGTCAACACAAACCAACTTTCACCAATTCTTGATATCTTACTCATTAATTGACGTTTTCTTTTTAAAAATCCCATCACTACGCTTTAAAGTTTAAAACAGACCCAAAACCTACTCCAAGTCATATGTCTGTACAGACTGTAGCTTCTGTCTCGTTAATACTCCTGAATTAAAAAGGGAAAATACAAAGATTTCTGTTTATGTGGAACAGATTAGTAAAAACACTGCTCCAAATGAATATTTTGATAAACATAAGTACTCTTGACTCCTCTCTTTTCTTAAATCTCACAATATCACCAGGAATCTTCCCAAGATTTAAGATCTCGATCAATAGGATCTATATTAGGTGGACGTCCCTACAGGAGGCTGAATATATTACTGGCAAGCAGTTACAATGCATGTTCCTGAAATCTTATAGCCTATAAAATATTGCACTGAAGTAGTCATTTGAATTTGCTATACTGACACAAACACTGCGATGAGGACTGTGATTGAATACATCGTGCAGCTTCAGCGTCTAACAGAGACTGTGTGCAAAGAGAGTGACATTTTGTAAAAATGTAATAAACACAAACAGCTGAGGCTTTGCTTGGCACCCTGTGTGATCTGTGTTGCTTTCCAGTAATTTTTATTCTAATTTGAATGGTTTAGATGAAAACAAAAAATGCATACGCACTGGCAGGGTAAAAGCTCAAACAGGGGTTCCATATGTTCTCATTTTTATAATGTGTCGGCTTTTAAAAGCAGTGCTCCTGTTAAAGTATAAAATAATCCTGCTACACTAACAAAAAATAAATAAATAAAAAAAGAACTGAAGGGGGAAGCCACCTGCGGGAAAGCATGCTCAGCTCAAGTTTCCTTTATGTTATGGCTCTGATTGCTCCTGGGTATTAAACTCATTACATTATGACTAACAAAAACAGTTGCACATGTTAAACATGGAAAAGAACTGAAATAGTTTTGGTAACCTGGTGTGTTTTTAATCAATAAACGGAAATAATGATAAAAATGATAAGAAGAGATCAGAGAATATCGAAGTGTGATTACCATCATTCCTTATGTGCGTCCATTTAGGTTATGCTATTTAGGAAAAAAAACATACTTTAATCGAGGAACTTAAATACTTTCCATGTATGTTTTTGCATATTACGCATTTAATTTTGACTATTGAGTTTTCAAGTTCAATTTGGCACAACTTTAGATTTCATATATGACATTAGACTTGATTACATATTCTTTAGATCATTGCGAAGTAATGTAGAGTAGAAAGTACGCAGCCAACCCAAACATTTATAAGCTGTGCCATATTTAAATGCCAAATTGTAAAAGGACTTTTTTAATGAACTGACTGCTACAGCATAAACAAAGGCAAGTGAAACACTTCACGCAGGAATTATAGTTTAGTCAGAGAGGATCAGACGATGTGAAAAAGAAACTCTTAAAACAGTAAAATGTAAAACCTGCGATACCTACAGTCAACTTTGAAGGGGTTGGTCTGTTTTCGTCTGGACATAGTATCACCCTCTCACCGGAGAGGGGTTAAAGGTCTCCCCGAACCACTTAAGGTTCCCCCTGCAGTCCAGGTGAACTCCGAACCGAGCCGATGGACCCAATTACCGGACAAACTCTCTCCAAATCATCCGCTCCATCGGAAGAAACGTAAGCGCTAACCGAGGTGTAAACAAAGAGAAATCCAACTGTGTGTCACATTCTTCCAGTTTTAGTTTGAAAAATGTTCCCTTCCAGGCGCTGAGAGGGGTTTAAAATGATGTCCAAGCCCCACGACAGACAGACTGACAGACGGACGGCGAGCCGACCCGAGCCGCTCCGATCCAGAGCCGCTGGCAGCTCGCAGGAGCGGAGCGCGAGCTCAGCTGATCCCGTATGTAAAATATCTGAACGCGCGCCGAACAGCATCATGGGACATGTAGTCAGGACGGGCAAAGAGCGTTAAAGCTGAGGATATAATTACGTATAAGACAGGAGGGCAAACGGAGGTGTGTAGAGAAACATTAAGATAATATTTTCAAACCCTATTCAAATGATTCATATGAAATATTCAACATAAAAATAACAATATATTGTTTTCACGACTTTTTATTTTTGCGTTTTTATAATGTAAAGCACTTTGAACTGCCTTGTTTCTGAAATGTGCTGTACAAGCATTGATTGAATTACTGTAGACAGTAAATCACAAAGAAAATCAATATTATGTAATTATACAAGCATTATTACCCACGTTGTATTTATTGATTCAATTAAAATTCCTACTTTCTTTAAATACAATTTCAAAAATCGTCAAGTAATGATGGCACAATTTTCTTGAATCATGTTTAATCAGTAAACATGACCAAAGATGACATTGTCACTTGACGACAAAATAACACACGTACATTAGTTTACGGATTCATACCACTAGGCAGACATCAGATGCATTCTGTCAAAGACTTGAATAAATAAAATAAATAACTGATTCAATAATTAACATTTGAATAAGGAAACATATTTTCTGTGCTATAGAAAAAAGTATAATTTCCTAATCTTAATACATAAATTAATTTATAATTCAAATTATAAATTAAGGTCAGTTGATATGCAGAGAAACATGATAGCGCTCCTTAGTGGACAAAATATGGAATTTACACAGCGAATCATTGCATATCTTGCTATATATATATATATATATATATATATATATATATATATATATATATATATATATATATATATATATTTACATCGACTCTTTTTACAATGCAGCTTTTATTCTTTTAACCATTACTAGTAGTTTTCAGCATTACTTTAATCTATATTTAAGCCCCATCATTTTAATGGATTATTTGTAAACACTCAGAGAGATTGAACCCCCCATAATTAATGCCTGACTCCATTCAAATTATAAACCACCAGAAAGGTTGTGAGTCAACAATTATATTGTTATAGTAATAAGTGGTTATTACTATGGTTCCAAAACATTTAAAATCTAAGTTTTGGTCTTACAGAGCAAAGTTTTCTGGATTTCTTAGAGGGAAAGCTTTTACGTTGGTATGTTAAACTCTGAAAATGTGTCCTTATAGACGTGGACACGTGAAAACTCAAGTACAAAACATTAATTCATCATCCATTAATTGAAGACCTGACTGGGTAAAATAAAGAACGACCGTCAGTTGCAAATATACCAAAGGTTTCACAAAAAAGAGCTTCCAATATTATTCTTTTTAAAAACACTGATTGTATCTTTACATTTGATCTACAATTGCTAAAATACTGAATAAACAAAGAACAATTTCCTGGATAGCTCAGTAACAACACTGGGTGGTGCTACACACCAATGTCATAGCAGCGCATGTAGTCGTCATCACTGAATGCCACGAGTAAACTGACCGCAGCACGACACTGACACGGTTAAAAATGTACTCATCCGCAAGGTTAGGCCAAAATATGCAATCTCAACAAAATAAGCACACCACACCATGAAATGCATGAATTTCCTTACAAGCAATAGCTGAAACGTCTCCACTCATAGCTTACAGTGACGTCAAATCCAAACCAAAAGCAGATCGACGACAGCCAGCTGGCTAACAAGCCGAATGTTAGCCCTTTATATCAATGCAACAACGATGGAACCTATGAAGCTCACAGAGCACAAAGTAAATGAGAAAAATATTCTAGGAATAACAACCCAGACGCATTTATCATGGCAATAAATAAAAAACGGAACTATTACCCATGGCGTCCAGTGAACACTGGCATATCAGGTGAGAGTCTCGCTCAGAGGCAGGTTGTGATGGGCTCCTCTGGTCCAAGCTAACGTTACTGTATGCTTTAACTTGGGATGAGCGTTCAATGTGGCAAGCCGTTATAGCACTTAATGAAAACATATTCACAGCGTCAAGGCTGTGAATAAAATGAGGAATTGCCCTCATGTTTTCTAAAATGATATTCCTAAAGTTAGAAAAGGGATTTTTAAAATAGGCTCATGGAACCATTTTCACATGTATTGCTTTGGAAATGATATTTAATGAATAAATCTTGTCAGTTGCATTTTTTATGCTTTTTTTGGAATCAAGTCAACATCATATGTAAAATAGAATAGGAAATTTCTTTAATCACTTACATTATTTTTTAAAAAAGCTTAAAAATATAAGCATCTATCTATCTATCTATCTATCTATCTATCTATCTATCTATCTATCTATCTATCTATCTATCTATCTATCTATCTATCATTAATAATTTCTCCTAAAAGGACTGATTTTTGAGATTTCTCAAATTTTGACTGTAGTAAAGTTTTTCTAGATGTTCCTGGTGTTATTTTAGATTAGAAACAGTTATTTAACATCTCAAATTTATAGCAATCATCATTTCTTAAAGTCAAGTTAAGTTTTTTTGTGTAGCACATTTCAGCAACGAGGCAGTTCAAAGTGTTTTACATGATAAAAACACAATACAATCAACAAACAAAAAGGAAGTGACACTTTACAGTGACGAAATAAGGAAAACATAGTTAATCTATGTTCCGGTTATTAATGAAAAGCAACTCTAGCCAATTGTTTAGCCTTGATCAGTGTTTCGGTATTTTTGCAGTTTTATGGAAGTGGTCACTTTAAACTTTAAATACATACGTTGTTTTAATTGTCATTTATTCAATTCTAAATGGCAAAATGGGAATTTTGAAGAATTGCTGTTGATTATATGCCATATCCACCTGCCGTACTCACTTCTTTGACTAACCTCTGTCAGTGTAATCCTCCGCCTGCAGTAGATGTGCTGAGGCTAGAGTAGCCACCATTTTGCATGTCTAGTGTGTTCCTCCCTCCATTGCTAATAGAGACGACTCCAGTTCTTTTCTGGTATCATTACGGCTCGTAAGTACATTTAGAAAGTACCATGTTGTCACAAATATGTGGAAGTGTCTCTACTTGTACTTAAATACGAATGCTTTTGATCGTACTTGCGATGTCAACTGACAGTTAGGCGCTGCATAGGAAGTCGCAGCCCTCAGTGCACCGGGGTTGTGCCTGTCAGCAGCTAAGTTGCTGGGCTAGGTATGTGCACTGCTGTGGTGTGACTACTGATTAAGTCATACAAGTCGTAACAACTTGAAATGGTAGGATATAGTGATTATTCTCTTGATAAGTAAGAAAAACCTTTGGTCGTCTTTTAATTTCGACGGTAACTGCTGTATTTGACAGAGAAATGTCAGGGAGCTAGCTAACGCTAAGAAGGCCTAAGCTGCATCATGTTCAGATCAGTCGGTAATTAGAGGGGGGCTTATGTGACCCCGGTCCTGTTTTCCATTCGTCTGATGTTATGCTATCAATAGAAGCATTAGTTTAAGGAGACTTTTTCAGTCACGGTGACGCTGTGATGTCAAACTGATACCTTGTCCTTTCAAGTTCCCTAATATATCAGGGTTAGCTCGCTTATCGCTACTTCTTCACAGGTGTGCTTTCCTTCTGTAACTTCAGACATTGTTCCGTGTGCTTGGGAAAGACTTTTAATACCTTTTGACGACGTGTACAATAATTCACCCCCAAGCAAACGTTTCATTTGGGGAAATCCAGGAAGCTGTCGGCAGCTTTCCTAATGTGCTGACGACGTGGACGTGGATTTACTAAAGTTTTAAGAGAGGCTTTCCTGGCGTTGGCGTTGTATCGACTTAATAGACTATTATCATACAGGCTTTTACTTTACACACAGTGGTCTTGTTGGTGTAAATTGGTTCATAAAGTATGTTATTATTGAGGAAGTAGGCTGGAAGTAGGAAGTGAGCTAACCACAGTGACGTTCAGCAGGTGTACATGGGTTTTTCAGGAGTGCCTCACCTCTTTTACAGTCATTTTTATCTACTTCTATGCGTAATTTAGCTACTTGCTTGTATTTTGGTTTGGGATTTTGGTTTCACTGTTTTGCAGTTACCTTTTTCTAGTTTTCTATTCCAGTTTATTCATTTTGAAAAGATGAAATCTTGCAGCTAAGCATGCCATTTTGTTGCTTTCTGAAGCAGGTGGAGGTAAATCGTAGCATAAAGCAATTGTTTTATTCTACAGTTTGATCTACAGTGGAAAATGATGTTGGAATTATGTCACGCTTGTACACAGAGTCAAGTAAAACAACCAAATTCGTGTGCAAAAATAATTAGCCGGTGATTATGCTGCAATTAGGACATGAGCTAAAGAACTTCTTTCAATGGAGTATTGATTGTTTGTCTCTGATTTAAACATAAATGCAGCCCAAAAGTAGCGTTTCATTTTGCCTACTATACACATTGTCTGTGTTTTAACTCTACAAGCTCCTGCAACTTTAGTGTAACATTTTTTTCCTGTGATTTAATTGATGCTCTCATTGGTAATGTAGCTTTTGAACGATGCATAGCAGCCTAATTGGATTTAAAGTAGACAACCACGCCTCAATCCCCAAAAGACAGACACCAGACCCTATGGCAACATGCAAAGTAGAGACGTAGTCTCCGTGAGGAGGAGGAGAGGCTGCTTCTTCCTCAGGTTGCAGCTACATCCAGCTTTTTCCAGTGCAAATATAACCCAGCATTAACATGTTTTAACAGATTGTGTTTAAAAGACAGTTTGATTGTGACTTTTGTGAACAATTATGGGATTAAATCCTTTTCCCCTCGACACAAATGACTAGAGTTGTGACTGCTGTGGAAGCCTGTGTGTGTCTGTGTAGAAGTTCGCCAACATTAACCACACTTCTATTGTAATTTGTGTTTTTATGTATGAATTTGTTTACATTGCACCATGCTGAGCTGATCACAAAGGCTTGATCTCGTTTTCTTCTTTAAAAAAAAAAAAAGTAAGATGAATCATCTGTGACGTTTCATTAATTTCATTTGGTGATTTCGTATAAAGCCGTATAAATGGTGCCTGATCTCTGAGTTTATATTTGATGTGAGTCAGTAAGTCAACTCCTCTGTAGAGTTTTTTTTTTTTTTTATTGTTGCTGTCTCTACTGTGCCAACAGGAAGGATGATTTGTTTGTAACATAAATGCACATGTTGTAGGGTTTTGCATTTGGACCTTTGGATTGCTTTGTCCCTGATAAATTTGTGTTGTTGGATCTTTCGTAACATGACCCAAAATGCCGA